TTCAGTCTCTTTTTGGACACACAGGCTTGTATACTTGTAATTAGCAGTCTGTGGCCCTCTCTCACTTGTATAGGCAGAGCATTAGTAACTGCTATCATTCACATCACTGCTTTTCTGGGGCAGGGGCAGAGGCTGGTGGTATGTGCCTGTCTGTGTGTGTTTACCTGAGTGTGGTGGCCCTAAGGGCAGTGGCAGCGCACTAAACAAACTGTGGGGGCACCCTTGGGTGAGCGCTCTATGCCCTGGAGGTAGTGGCAGGGAGCGAAAGGCGAGTGTCCGGACACTGGGCGTGTGTCAATGGACTCTCTCCTCCGTTTGACTGATCCAAGAGTATCCTCAGAGGGGCAGCGCTGGCACAAGCACCCTCTCACACTGATGCCATAGTTCACTGGAGCTCTCACTATCTTTATATTTGTGTATGATCCAACATTTTATAAATGTCATAAAGAATTGCCACAGGTTGAGGCGGTCCACAAAGTGAAATGGTATTGGCAATAAAGTAGGTTTGTTTATCTGTGTTTGATTAAATGTTCTCTGCTTGGTTTAAGTATTCAATACAGTAAGACTATAACATAAAGAAGATAGCTGGGGCTCTGAGTATTTAGTGCGAATGTGTCTGCAGACAAAAGCTTGCGTTAATCCCACTTTCTCCAGCATCTGGAGCCTTACCACGCTTTAAAGGGCTGGCGGTGTCCGCTGTGCGCCGGGCCAGTGCTCAAACACACACAGCTATCTGGGGCACCAGAAGGCCTCAGCTACGCCAAGGCAGAGGCTGCCCACTCTGGCACAGCCAGGTGCTTAGGGGGAGAGCGAAATGGCAACAGTGTGGTAGGTGAGATGGAGAGAGAGGTGGGCTGGTGTAGAGTGGGCCTGGTATGTGAGAACATCCCAGAGAAAACGCCCATTTGCTCTCATGTGAAAGGTGCACATGTGATGATGAGGAGGGGGCTATGTGACTGTGAGAGACACAGGATGAAGGCTGAGTGTGAGGAAAGGTGCAGGCTCCAGCATTGGGCCCATCTTATGCTAATTCAAATGAGCGTGGAAGCACAGCCTCCTCTTGGCTCTCATGTCCAAGTTGATGCCTGCTTTTATCTATCACTATGGGCCCTGTATTAATCTCCTATCTTCCCACTGATGAACACACACTTTGAGCAGAGACGTGCTCCGGGCCCCCACCCTTAATGCCTTCTGTAGCAGCATACTCCACTCCCCCAAACCATCTCCTCATGTAGCACCACAGATGCCCATGTTGCCCTGCAACAGCTGTCTCACCATGTGCCCTACCAAGTGTTGCCACCCAATGGAGGGCAGAGGAAACGAGGAGGAGGGAGGATTTAGGGAGGGCAGACTGGGTGCTCCATTTTGGATGTGATGGCCAGGTCATAAATATTCATTCCTCTCATATAATTAGGACCAGCTCTACCCCTGTATATGGCATCTATTACTTTGTGTTGGCTTTTGGAATATGAGATTGAACTCAAATAAATTTATGTAACCGTTTTGCGTTTTTGCGTCCCCTTTTCCCTTAGTTTGGACTTGGCGATACCCCTGTAAGTACAGGAAGCGCCTGGACATAAAGTTCAGAGAGTCTTATTGGTTGTTTGGGTTAGCGGCATTCACATTGGCCAATGAGCAGAGCCGAATGCCTAGTAACAGTGGGACAGTCTGAGAGGGTATTTCAAAAGCCAGCACTGCTCTGACGAGTCAGGTGCAGGAACCAGACTGGATCCAGTCACAGAACAAAATGGTGGGCCGGGACAGTGGGCCGCCATTTTGAGGCAAAATGTTTGGAGCATGCCATGTTTTCTAATCTAGGCGGTTGGGCTGCACAGCCAAGGCATGCTATTGAAATAACCTCAAACATTGCGCTTATTTGCCCAAAAATCCCAATAACACCATTTAATGAATAATAAACTGTATTTGTTTGCATCTTTTAAGATGACAAAAGTGCCACAGTCGCCGCTAAGCCCCACTAAATAAGCTGCAAATAAAAGAAAATTCATTCAAAGACTGACATCTGTGCTCATAAAGAAAGCCATACCTGTGACTTTTGTTTTTATTATAAAATTGGAAAAGTTGAGCGTTGAGACGTTTAAAGATGCCAGGACAGATGGAACCAAGTGTAGAGTACCATCTGAGAAACTGATGCCACATTGTCCTCCCCTGTGGTCCTTCTCGCTTGATAAATAAATAAATGCATTTGGGCAATGGAGCTGCTTAAAAGAAAACTAATAAAGAAGTGTCTGAAAGTCTGAGCGCAGTTGTGAGTGAACGTGGCACAGCACCCTGCCTGTGTATTTGTTCATTTAATTTTGAAGGGATGAAAGCAGACAGGCATAAAGAGGGGCAGACGCAGGGAGATCACCGCACCGTGTACCGCACTGTGGGTAGTGTGCCACACAGTCTGCCTCCCTAAAGCAATAAATCTGAAACAGCATAATAGATAAACGCAACTCAGAACACAAAATACCCTGTGAGGGAAAACTAATAAAAAACGGCGCGATTAAGTGGAATCAGAGCTCTTAGGCAGTATCTGGAGATAGGGAGCTGTCGCCATACAAAGCCTGGTACGGGCCAACACAACAGATGAGAGAGCATAGGGACAGGGGGGCTGAGGCCGAGCGAGGCAGTGCAGACAGAGGAGAGAGAGAGAGGAGCTGTACGTATGGGGCATCACATCAGAGGCGCCTCTAGTGTGTCTTGTTCTGTCTTTAAAAGAGAGCCAGGAAAACAGATTAGGAGTGCACTTTTCTCCAGGGGCAGAGACACAGAACGCATTCACCCGGAGCGGAGAGGGTTTGTAGCCCATCTTTGACCTGCCCAGCCCTGAACAAATCTATGTGAGACGAGCAGAAAGAGAGGGAGGAAAGAGACAATGAAACAGGGCACGAGAACTTCTAGAAATAAACGTGCAATGATTCGGTTTAGAGTATCTACTGGTTTGGATTTAAGCACGAACAATCACCCATATAGTTACACTGTGACCATTTTGAAATAACAATTCATTTGAGGTTTATTATTTATGAATGAGCAACAATTCTATTTATTTAGATTCAAACAAAATGCATATTAATACTTATTCTAACCTTACCCAAAATAATAAGAATCAGTATTTTCTCTAGTACATCAAACACACATAAAATCATGCAAAATTTGTTAATAAAATTACAATTTATAGCATTTTTGGGATATCATTTGGAGCTTTGTTTTCGTAATTTTGAGGAATAGAACACACTGGGGCCTCCATGTATTACTAATGTATTTGCAATGTGAATAAATAAAAATAAATTATGAACTTTAAATGTATTTCTTTAAAGCAACAAAAGTAATTCACCTTGCCCCCATAGTAACTCATTGGTGAAGTGTGTGTGTGTTTGCGTGTGCCTGTGTGTATGTGTGTGTGTGTGTGTTTGTGTGTGTGGGGTGTGTGTGTGCGTGTGTGTGAGCCATTGATAAACGTTTGCAGAAACATAAAGCCACAGACACTTCCTGGAAATAAGGGGTCCCTCATCTACAGCCCCAGTGTTTAGTCAAGTCCGGCACGAAAAATAAAACAACAAATCATCTAAACTCTTGCTATTTTTTCTACTTATTTTGAATTTATGATTACCATTTATATTTTTGCTCTTTGTTATTATAATATATTAGAGATTAGCGTTATAGAGATGTGTGAGCTGCTGTGTCCAAATAATTTCCCTTGTGGATCAATAAAGTTCGTCTAAGTCTAAGTCTGATCCCACTGTTTTTTCCCCTGTAGATCTATTTTTATTTTAATATTTTATTACTTTAAACAGCTCAGTTCGATTGTTAAATTTTGTAATTTTAGTTAAAAAAATATATTTAAGGACAAGTAGCATTTTTTATGTCCTCAAACAATTAACAATTCAAATAATATACATTTCTGAATTCAGTTTCTCATAACTGTGCAACCAGTAATGTTTACTCTTCCTAACCCGTTAATGCACTTTTATGTTGTTAATGTTTGTTTTTCACAATTGAAAAAAATTAAAATATTGATATAGTCTTTTATTAAATCTACCGTACTCCTACTAACCTTAGTGTAGATGTTTTTAGTTTAGATTAAGGACATATTCTATTTCATTTGTTGCGTCCTGCTGAATTTTAGTAGATCATTTTCTTTCACTTTCTTATTTTATCCCGTTTATTATTAAAGTAAAAGAAATCTACTCACTTCACAGTTGCATTGGCATGAAAAACCTGAGGATTACAAATGGTTCCAGCCCATACAGTAAAGTGCCCTGCTTGAGAATCTTTAGGTTAAAAAGTTTCCATGACTGTGTAGTGGGAATGTTGGCAGTGCTATGTGAACATACTCCACCCTCTGTCCCATTCTGGTGTGCCAGGGCCGGGCATTCCTCACCCCTCCAATGCCCAGTATAGTGCCCACTCTTTTCTCTCCGCCTGGGTCTCCAATGTGCACAAACCCATGAGACCTGTTCTCCCTTTGTCTATAATGACTACTTCACCATAACTACGTCCTTCCTTTCTAACTTCTGCATATACTTCCAGTCATCTTCCAAAGGCCAAAAATGTATCTTTATTATTTCCTATCTTGCTACTTTCCTCCATAATTTTCAACCCTTCAATTAGGCTGATTTGGATGGCTAAAAGTAAAGATTTGAGCATGCCAGCAGAGGATCACTGCTGCTGGCCTGGCTTGGACACGCAGTGCAAAAGAATAAAACCTTGGACACAAAAATACAATAGTTTCAGCAGGAGCCTATTACAGCCTCGCTCACTGTTTTGCTGAATTGCAGGCCAAATGCTCTGGTTCAGATCAAGCCTAGTTCGCGGTAGTCAGATAAATTTATGCCAGAAGGACAAAGATGGGCATGATAGTGAGAAATATAACTCTCAATAGAAAATATTTGTCTACAATTTTAGCATTTTATTTTGTTAATCTATAAATGTCACATCATGTGGAGTAAATCTAACGCAACTTCAACTTTTAATAATGAGAAAACAGACATTTGGTGATACATTTGACAGTCTGGCACGCTTATATAATGTCCTCCCAAATGTTCCGCAGCGTAACTTTAATTTGTACTTTAGTATCAGTTTGTATATTAAAGTGTTATATTCAGTAAAATGCGTGTTCTTACTGCAGAGGTGATAACACTGAGTCATGAAAGGTGATCCGCTGTTGAGTTTCTTTGAGCTTTAGTCCCAGGCCTCTTCATGTGGCCAGTTCAACAGTGTTTGTGACAGGAGCTCTGTGGCTGCTTCAGGGGCCTGTGGTAAGAAAAGGATTTTATTAACACAATCGCAAGCAGCATCTATAGCCCAAATCCCTCAAAACAAACTCAAATTGATGATTATTTATTTTCTTATTTTAGAAAATGTGATATAGTTGCTCAAAATTATAGCAAATGTATGTGTTAATGTGTTAATTTAAATGCACTGTTCAAGCTTTGTTATTATTGTGTTATTATTAAAATGAGAATGGGGTCAACTGTAGGAAACATATGGTAAGTATGAATTATTATTTACATAAAACGTGTCCAACAGATTTTTAAAGTGCCTATTTTGTGGAAAAAATAAATAGCTCAAACATGTCAGCACCATTCAGCCTTTAATAAAATGTGACATATATTACATATTATAAGTATAAATAACTATTTTATTATTTGGAGGCCTATTTTATGAAAACTCTTGAAAAAAATATATCCTGTTTTTCCTCTAAATAAACAAGACCTCATTATTATTATTATTATTATTATTATTATTATTATTATTATTATTATTATTATTATTATTATTAAAGGCCTAAGAGTTTTTTATTACATGTAGCAATTGTGTCGTTCTTTTTTATAGGCTGCAGGCTAATGAATGCTAATTAATTAAAGACACGTTGTGAAAACTGCAATAAATTAATGATGGTGAATGAAAATAGTTTACTACATTTACGAAAATTTTATAATTAATTTTTATTAGTCCCCTAAATAAGATTCAGCCGGAAAAAAAGGGTTGTATTAATTGGCTGCTAAATGTTCTTTTAGCCTAATGTTAATTGAGACACTGGAATTGTGTAAATGTTGCGCTGCTGGCCTTGTTTTATTTTTATCTTTTTCCTGTTCATTAGTTGATTATTTGGCCACACAGAAGCAGTAGAGACAAAATATATTTCGGAAAAAGACCAGAAGGCCTCTCCTGCTTCGCCCGCTTTCCATCATCAGACTCTGTTCATTTACTTTAACAAATGTGAAAACAACCTTCAGTTTAATTTACACAAACTTTGAGTTGAAAATAATTAACAAAACAAAATGTGTTTAGAGGCCAGCGGTGCATTATTAATAAGCAGCAGGCTGAAGGAATGCACTGATATTTGTACAATGACGGACGACAAGGGAGAAGCGTAACGTGGCCAAAGAAAATAAAGGGGAACAATTTGGTGTGTTTGTTTTGCATTATTTAGGTATTGAGACAGACCCGATTATTTGTATTTAATGTTCTGTGCTGTTAATTGTTATTGTTAAAATTGCTTAAAAAGCCCAAATTACTTTATTTACTTTATTTTAATGGCTGATTTGACCTTTACGCATGAAGTTAAATCCCACTGTGTCCATGTAGGCTACATGCAGCTGAAGTAATGATGTGACTATATTCAATAGTCTATATAAAATTCAGGTGTTCCTTAAATTTTAGCTAATATTAGGTTATTCCAGACATTTAGAGGAGAAGACACAGGCCCTGCAGGTAGACATACAGAAGTCACAGAAGACCTCGCTGCTCCAAACACACAGTAAGCCTATTTTGTATCGAGGCATTGAGAAGAACAGGTAGTTTTTAGGGAGTCTAATCCTCGCACTTCGTGATTTAGCTACTGGCCCTAATACTCCCAAAGCCGCAGCTGCTCTGCGACCGTGACAGCCTGCGCACCGTGTGTCACATTAATAATTCACCTAATAATTCCGGGGCACACCCTGTTGTCGTGAACAACTGCCCCAAATTCTTGTCCTGTTTTATCATTTTGGACCGCAAGGTCGCTGAGGTGCACTGTGAGGAGGGAGCTGCTCTGGAGAGGCTTCCATTACGCACCGTGTTCCGCTGCTGCTGCTCCTCGTGACTGTGGAGGCATTCTGCGACGCGAAGAAGCTGCTCTTTCATCTCGTCAGCTCCAAAAGGAGGAGGCGACGTGGGACCAGGGGTGTCCCCCCGTTTGTGCGCGCGTGTGTACAAGAGCGTGCGTTTGTTCTTGTGTTTGCGTTCAACGAGAGAGAGCTGCGAGTGAGAGGAGAGAGAGAGATACGAGGGTAAAACAGATCGGACGCGCGGCGCTGGAGAGAGCCGCTTTTGGACACCTTTTGGATAACTAAGCACACGGGAATAGAAGATAAAGACAACTTACTTCCCTTAATCTCCATTTGGTTCATGTTTATTTTCTCTGTCATTATGAATGTCCCCTGAACGCCTCTTTCCGCGCGACATGGACACATCTGAGGCCACGCTTCGCTAGACTACGAGGCTCAGCCGCAGTCCCGCTCTCTCCGACCGAGTTCGCACTGACTGGAGCCACTTTTTGAGCGACTTCTTTAAAGGTGTCTTTTTTGCTTCCGGCAACAGTGAAGAAGAAGCGTCCAAGTGTTCCTCTCTCCGCCAGCGCACTCCCTCTCTCACTTTTGGAAGCTGAACTTTTAAAGGAAAATGGGGCATTGAGTTCGTTGGCAGATCTCCCCACGCTATAATGGTACGTGCTGTGTAACTCAATTGTTGCCCTCAGTTGGTCTATATAGGGTAAAGTCTAGTCCTATAACACAACAAATCAACGCAAACGTCGTGTCTTTTACTTCAGCTTGCCTGTTTTAATGATGTTCATAAACGGGCTGGACTCATGCAGACTTTGGCTGCGGACTGTCGAGTGACTAACCACACACCTGCGCGCACCGTGTGCAATGGGTGCAACTTTCTTGGCAAACTTCTTTAGCCTATGGTTTAGGTCGTGTCCAGTGAAAATAATACAGTATTTAGAGTGTTCTGTGTAGACTGAAAAACCCTGCGTCCTCCGTGGCGTAACGCACTAAATTGTTTGCAGAGCATATCAATGGAGCCGTGACAAAGACGAGGCTCATCATCAAACAGAATAATACACATGTTTTCACAATGTCAAAGAGACGCTCAGAACCACAGTGTGAAGTTTTATTAAATTAACTGCTGCAGTACGCGAACGTGTCCAACTGCTCCTCGCACCTCTGTAAAGAAGTGAAAGAGAAACTTGTGCGCTGAGTGACCCGCTCACGGGGTCGGTTGTGATTTGGCACAACAGGCAAACTGTATGATTTAATTTATTCAGTATGTGATGCAATTAATTAGGAAAAATATGAATAATTGTTCAATAATTTATGTGTGAGTTTACATTGCTCAGAAAACGTGGAAATCTATGACATACAGTGTTTTTACTTTGCAAAATGCAAGGGTATCGACCAGTTATTTTGCTCTGACAAAATTTAGATTATGTAACCTAATACTCTAAATAATATGTGGTGTTATTATAGTAATTATCATTATTGCTACTTTAATAACCCTTATTAATTGAAGACATGCAGTAAATTATTCTTATTTTTATTGCTTTGTCTTTTAGAGCCAGTGCAATCAGTTAAAAAAAAAAGAGACGCTAATGCTGTTGCTGAATTTATAAATTCTGCTATTTAAAAATATTCACTGTGTATAACCTGAGAAGGATGGTGCAGTTTGGAGCATTACTGAAATGCCATGTTTAAGGAAGTGTTGGATAAGTTGGCTGCAGCCTGCACACCACACAGGCCTCCTCTGAACACCTGCACACTGACTTTACTGGAAGAACATGTTTCTTAAATAAGCATTTGATATGTGACTGTTGGACAAGATAACTTCACAAATCTTTTTTAATTTCCGCTCACATTGTTTCATAGCATTATCACCTCCCAGTCAGCCAACGATTGATGAGGCACCTTGTCATTACATAAAGCTAAACGTCAAATGAGAGCCAGTGATTTGTGAATTGTGGCTCTCCAATTATCTGTCTGTTTTTCTCAGGTGCAGTCCAGGTACAATGTGACACCGAGCTTAAAGATCCAAATCATATTTTTGTTCTGAATACTTGGCTATTCTTTGAAACATCTCCTAAACCAGGTTGTCACAGTTATAGTATATTAGCATGTGGTTGATTCTGGTGAAAATCTTCAGTGATCTCAACAAACCTCCTCATCAAGTCCTGTCTCACTGTGTGTGTTCTGTAATACTAATCTATGATTGCTACTTTTTGTGGTTAACTCCAAAACCACAGGAAAATCTCCCAGTGGATCAGTTGTAGTGTGAAACAAAGGTCTCATTGTCCAGGCGCTAACCTAGTTGTTAAATGCACTTACCAATGTGGCTACACTGTGGTTTGTGCATGAATGGAGACCATGTATGAGAAGGTGCCAGGGGCGTTGGATTACCTTTTGTATTGGCATTGATGATAAATGGCAAAATGCTCGAGCAAGTTGAAAGTTTTCGATCTGGCACAGTCATATCTGAAGGCCACAGTCCACAGCGTAGCCAGTCGAACAAGATCAGGAGCTGTGTGGATCCAGGGGTGTGTCAATAAGAGCCCTGTTTAAACTTGTCTCATCATGACACACTTTTGGGTTTGATGAAAGAAGATATCTAAGTATCTATTGTGGCGCACATACACAAGGATTCAGTTTAGACTTGTGCAAAAGGTTTACTGAAGTGTGAAAATGCTGGAATTATTTTAGATATGAATATTATAATATTAAACCAAGGTCATACTGAATTGTTGTAGCTGTATTTATACCAGTTTTTCTGCAGGATTCTGCAGATACTGAAGATATTTTCCAACTTAACTGAAGAATTAACTGAATATTTTAGTAGGCTATAGGTTCTTTTCCTTTATTGCTTCTACATGTGACTCATTATTATTATAGTTTTTTTCATAATTTTTTTTATTATTATGCTAAATTGAAATTAAAAGAGACATCAGTTTGGCAGCTCAGTTGCAGAGTGGTTAGTGCTTCAGCCAAGAAGGTCCTGGCTACATGAGGCCTTTCTGTGTGGAGTTTGCACGTTCTCCTCATTTTGCATCAGTGTTATCTGGATGCTCCACTTTCCCCAAACATGCAGGGTCCCAGTTGGGGTTTGGACTTCCCTGGAAAAGAAATCCTTTATCTCAGTAAAATTTTCCTGGTTAAATAAATGTCATTGATATTTTTTACACAGTCACTTTTCAGTTTGCTGCTAATCTTTCGTCTTTACTCATCTTTTGGTCTCTGTAACCATCAGCAACCACACAGTCAATACAGGAATTCTTATGTAAGGTGGGAAGTGTCATGCTTAAGGGCACAATGATAGTGGAAGGCTCGTATGTTTATCAAACTGTCCGCTTTGGACTCAGACAGTACTTATATACACTTTACTTTGTGCAGTTTGTTCTCTCATGATGCTCATTATGAACCTCTTATGCCATAATTTCACTTCGAGGCATTTTATAATGTTTTTTTTTTTTTTTTTTTTTTCCTAAGTAAACAAAAGCAATTTTACACCCATACCTCCTGCTGTCAGGCCTCTTTTTACTAGAAATGTTTCACACCATGCGCTTCTCTCCCCATCCAAAAGCCCACCGTTTACTATTGTATAAAAAATAACTGCACAATTAAGCCAAATGCAATCTTCAGCACTATATCTTGGCTGTGCTTCTGACCCAACAAAACCTTCAGGACTCAAATTCAGGGTAAAATAATTAGCTCAACTACTAAGTCTTCCTGCCTTTTTTCAATGTTTCTCATCTTTCTTATTCTCTACTTTTCTCCCTACAACCCCTCGAGAGTGTTGTGTGAAAAATCATATTTTTCAACATTTTCCCTGAGGTATCTTTGGCAGAGGCTCACACGCCGGCCGCTTGTGTGTTTCATACAGCCCTCACACACCGTGGAACAGATCGCCGATCCAGACCGCCGTCTTTGAAGCCCCTGCCATCTCCGCGCAGGTTGGCTGGACTATCCCTATCCCCTCCACCATCCCCCTTTTCGTATCCTTCAACTTGGCAACGCAAACTCTTGCCACTAAATCACTGTGATAAAACACAATACGGTTGATAATAATTACAGTTTTTAAAGATGGACAGGCAGTGGTGATGGCTGGCAAAAGGAAAAGCTTTTCTGGACAAGTGGCGTATGAACCAGGTGTGTGCAAGTTTGAGTTTGGAGTGTGTTGGAGTGAGATCCTGTGTGGAGCATCTCTGATATGTTGCCATTCAAGTAGCTTTAAAATATAGCCATCAGGGGCTTTTATACACGGAGCAGTGAGAGTGTGCAGGTTTGGGAAGTATTTGGGCATATGGTTGTTGACTCACATAGCACAGTATTAAGAACCAGCCAAGAGAAGATTTAAGTTGGTGTAGGGAAGTGGAGTCCTTTTGTCAGGCATTCAAACACTACCTCAAAGTGCTTATGACACATTTTTATCATTCTCTCATTCTGATTTAATTTGGTGGGATTATAATATTATAAATATAAGTTATAGTTTTACTCCAATCAAGAAGCAATTTGCAAAGAAAAGTTGAAAAATATATTGAAAATTACAGAAAGTAGAGAGTTCTAAAATACACTAATGACATGAGAAATCTATCCAAAGGTTATCCATATTTGGCACTAAAGAAACATTTTTTTTCCAATACTTTAAATATGATTATAGCCAAGTAAAGGTGGTTTCTTATATTTGTATTTGACAGATAATAATTTCTGTACATTAGAGGAGTTTTTTTTTTTATGGAATTCCCTAATGTGATGTCACAATTTCCAACCAGGAAGTCAAATTGTGAACCTAAAAAATGGCCAAATTGGGAAAACAAGGGTGAATGTTTTTGTAAAAATCTTAAATATAATGAGCTTAACTGTGTTTTATTAACCTGTCATAGACATATTAAACCTTATCTCCTCACCCGGTTCCTGTTTGTATTTCTGTGGAGTGTGTAAAATCTGTCTCAATTAACACATTTGCATTGGGAGAGAGGACGGACTCCAAATAGGTCACTGACTCAATCGCCCGCCTTCGAATCTTCCCTCTAAAATGTTAATTAAGGAGAGCTTTGAGATTTTGTAGCTCAGGGCTGGCCATATGGGCTGGGCATATGCTGTACATATATATAGTTGGATATATAATTCATAGAGTGCTGCAGGAGAGAGGGTTTGGGGCCATGCGTTTTTTGGGGTGCACTACAAAGACAGGCAGTGTGTAGTGTCTCCCAGGAGCTTAGCATGTTCATTAGCTACATGTTATTCACTGTTGCACAATGGGATAGAAGTTCATCAGCACCTGTTTATCTGGCTCACAACATGAAGAGGCAATTTAAATTGCTTTTTGTTAAGGCCAATAATAATTCAGGTAATTCTAATGGATAGATTTATAATTAAAAAGCTTCCCTAATTGCGATTTGTTTATACTTTAAGTAAGATAATGGGCATTTTCCCTTTTATAATTCAATTTTAATGAGTCCCATTTCCATCTATCCACCTTCAGCAGAACAAGGCAACACAAGCCAATAGAAAGCACTCAGATTTTTGGGTCTCTCTCAAGCCAATCAGAAATGACCCTCTAGTTCACCTGACTCTGTTTCTGGCCAGTTTCAGCCAATCAGAGAGCATCCAGCACACCTGATGTAGTGAATTCATTAGTAGACTGTGGCTTTAATGCAGGGGCCCACACAGGGGCCCACACCGGGGCCATGGACCAGCTCCATATCCTGACCATCAGCCAATCAAATCCATCGTCCTGCTCTGACCCGCATGACCATATTAGTTTGTATAATACTCCCCTCTCTGCCTCTATGTCTTACTGTGTTTCAGCAGGCCTCTCACTCCGATTGGCTTCATTCTCTTGTTACGCTTTAACAATAGGTGCTGTGTTGCTCCATAAGAAGCTGGAGGTGTGCGCAATAAACAAGACAAAAAAGTACAATGTTTACGGTCTAATAAAGATGATTAGAAAGTGCACAATTGCGGAAAAAATGGGGGGTTGTGAGTGCAGATTATCTGTAATAAAACAGAAGAAAAGCAGAGAATGGGAGCGGGTTCGCTACATAGGCCTCTCCTTGCAAGGGATATGAATAGCCTTTGTTTTCACCACAACTCAGGGCTGTGTGGTCTGCCAACGTCTGGCTCTTATTATGGGGTTTGTGTCTGTAAGTGGCGTGCACGTGTGCTGCTGAGTGCATGGAGCACTGTATACATGCAGGTGATGATATTTTCAAGAGTTGACACTTCTGTAGAGCCTGAGTGTCTTTACATGTCCCCTCACTCCACACAAACTGTTCCCTTTCTGCTCCTGCTTTACTGAGCAGAGCGGCGCAGGCTCTGGGCTGGCATAGGCATGTGTGCACGCTTTTTATCCGGTAAAGTTGCAAAATGAAATAGGATTTCACAGAAGTGCACAGTGACTGTGGGATTTGGGCTCCCTTCAGCTAAGCAGAGGGGGATAGGGTGATCCAATCAACAGTAGAACTGCAAGGAGAGCCCATTTCACAGCTCCCGGGCCTGCCAGAACCCTGCCTGCCTGCAGACTTAGAATACAAATGACGTAGCTCATTGCTAACTTAGGCACAAACAGCAGGCTGGCTTAGATCAATGGGCACATTATCTCTCTGAAAAATAAAGGGTGTACTCTGACAGGTCAGTTTGAATGAAACATAATGTCAGATACATTTGTTTGTTTTTGTAATTGATTGTTGTATTGTTGTATTAATTTATTGTTTATAATCTGAATAATTTTTATTATTTCTTTTACAGGCTACTGACACCTATCTGGTCAATGACGATCCTGCCCGAGGCCCAGGGATGCCTGAGTGTTTCCTGGTGTCTGACACCTACAGGGTATAAACACACTCACACATACTCTCTTTGTTTCTATGTACACAGCTGTTTGTCCTGAACACAGCACAGATCATTTCTATCCACACATTAGAAGAGAGGATGTACCCATATCCACTCTTATAAAGCCAATTTCAAGTCACCGTTTACTGTCAGTACCCCCATGTTCCCATGTCCTTACGTGTACATGTAGGCCTGACTGGCATTTTTCCATTGCTTTTCGGGTGGTTTTCATGTCCAAATCTTAAATAGAAGAAAAAACGGGCATATTGCATATTTGTTTTTGCTCAGCTATGGTAGAAACAATGAGCAGCTTCTGTACAGTGTTTACCATATGCTGTAGCTGCCAGGTTTTTTCTGCTGTATGTATATATATGTATATATCCGGCATACATCTGAGTGGCGTGCTCTCTCCCAGTGCACACGCATAAACAGCTTACTTCAACAATATTGACTCTAAGGCACAGTAAATGGTACAGTTACGTGCTCTTTCCACTCACATGTTTTCTTCCTTTTGAACGGCAGCTCAGCCACCTGTCTCACACATTTAGCACGCTGATGCTAGTATCAGTATGCCACATCATATTCAATATTTAATAGTTTAGCCACAGGCAATGGTAAACAGCAAATGTATGGTCAGTGCTGTGTGTCAGTGGGAGACCGTAACACGCTCACATTAGACACGCCATATGCTTTTCCTATGTGCTTTTTAATAGGAAACATCATCTTAACCACACAAGGCTGTTGATGTCCAATAGGTTACATGGGTGATGGTCACAGGGACCATTTCATTCAAACAGAATAGAGTGTGGTGAGAAAAGCAAGAATTTTGAAGCCTCTGTTTTATGTTTGCTTGTGATAGCTATAAATGACAAGATTACAAACACAGAAATGGACAAACAAAATGAGAATATTGTTTAGGGGATGATTCTAATCTAAAACACCATTAGCAGCCACTGAGAAGAACAGAAAAAGAGAGGGAAAAGTCGAGAGCACACAAAGACTTAGGGGTTTGGGTCGGTGCCGTGGAGGGTGTGGTTTGGAAACAGGAGAAAGCAGCGAAAATGCACAGACTTCACCTCAATGTTTTTGTCTTTTGTGGAAGGGGTATCCTTCATGCTTGTCTTTTGACATTTTCAGGAAAGTTCAGTAATGAGACCAAATGAGTAACTGCTCAGATCACTGGCCTAAATGATGCTTACTTTAACTAAGAAAGAACACATGATTTGTTTTAGAACTTACATTATTATAAGATCCAGTAAAAAGTGTTTATCCCTGACCTAAAGTTCCGGTAATCCAATCCTTTCAGTGCCACATTTTATTTAACTCCTACCATATTTACTCCTACTAAACAAATTTTACACCTGTCTGTAATTTTCTGATGAACTTTCCAACATTTCTTTCCTAAAACCCCAGTATTTCTTTGTTTCATCCTTTATGCCCTCTCGTGTGTGTGATGTGTAGTTCTACTGTACACGTGTACTTTTGTGGCTTCAGTGTCTAAGTATCTACACAGGCTGAGGTCTCGTAAAGCTGCACAACTCCACATCCCCCTGAAAAACTTGGCACTGGAGCCCCGGGTGACTTCAACCCCCGAAACCGCACCCTATAGTCCTTATAACACACTGCTTTTGTACAGCCATAATACACACAGATGACATATGCACATATGGGGCGGCATTCACACGGTCTCAGTAACACGCGCGCACCAGGCACAGGCTTATGGGTAATTGCCGGCACTCTGCCTGCATATATGAGTTTGATTAGGGCCGAGAAGCGGAGAGGATAAAGCCAAGCCTGATTAGAAACAGAGAGTATTGCTTCCATACAATAGCTCTCACAATGAAACTGCTATAGACTAGTCTATGTTCCGCTATTGTTTTGCCTGCTCCTATATACAAGCAGAGGAGAAATAATAGGGTTTAGAGCAGATAGGGTCATTTAGCTGCTGAGAGTTTGGGCAGTCCTCAAATTTAAAAATCATAATAATTTCTTTGTCTTCAAATATTTATTAAACCATATATGTGGATCATTATTTGACATTTGTTTCATTGTAAAATGTAATATTCATCTAAAACAGCAGTGTAACAAAGACTGATCTGCAGATCTTGAAGAGAAAAACGTGTCTTTTCAAAGTGACATTACAAGTAGACAAGTTTTATTTGCATGTTTATATTGCTGGAAATTTTGAATTGTTCAAAAAAAAAAAAAAAAAAAAAAAAGACAAGTAAATACAGAGAAGTGGGTGGAGACAGGGGGTAGATGAAAACAGACATTTTTAAGCACTCATGCTTCTAATGCAGGACAATGCAGGATTACTCAAACATGCGTGAGTCAATAAAAAAAATTAAATTTTAAGAAAACTATGACAAGGAAAAATTCTTACAGTTAAAACCTCAAAAGTTGTACATCATATGCCCCCTTTATAATGTGAAAGTAAATTGGTGATTAGAAAGATGTTTTCATATAGACTTGCATGTAGCATGTGAACGAGTGACCTGTCAACACTACACAACTGTTCCCATTGTCCAGTTATTATGTGCATTATTGTGTAGTTATTTTCTGCATTACAGCCTACTACACTCTACACGTCAGGTATGAAATACGCTTCACTCCACGAAGTGCCTAAAGGCTATATTGAGCCATTAGACCTTTCTAGTTGACATGAGTCTAAACCGACCTCAAAAGCTCCCCAGCACCGCCGCAGTGGGAATGCCGTGACACTTTTCAGGCCAAACTTGAACTCGTAAAGCGAAGGATGACTTCTGCTACAGTGATATTATAGATACGCGTTGGCGTGGTTTGAAATCAGAACTGGGTGGGAGCGTGAATGCCAGAGCCAGAGAGAAAGAAGACGGGAGGGAGGGAGGGAGGGAGAGAGAGCGGCAGAAACTTTCTCTAAAGTTCGACTCGAGCGGAGCTTTCACTGTGGAGTGAGTGAGGCGGGGTTTCAGCCCGGACTAAGCCACAGCAGCTTTGCAATGCGGCACCGTAGCGATCCTCCATCCAACTTTATTATCTTCTACTCCAAATCTCATCCCTAGACCTGACCATGTACTCTCCTTACTGCTTGACACAGGTACGGACCGCTGCACTTTCGTCCGCTGCTTTTGTTGCATGCGCGTGTTTTCCGGTTTGTCCGTGCGCGCTTTACTTTAGCCTATTTGTGTCGTGTACGCAGTGACGCTGCTTGTCATTTATTTCAAACTATTGTCTCTCCAGCTCTGCGCTCTCTCCCTATGTGACCTCGCACTGTTTTGGAGCTCTCTCTCCTTTTCTCAAAAACAGCCGTGAGCCGCCCAACAAGTTCTTGTGCGTCTCATTGCGCATGGTTTAGGAAGAAAATGGCGCTTCTCCCAAATCTATTTGATATAAAACGGAGGTTGGATTGAAGCATACGTGAAAGCAGTCAGCTGCAAGTTTAGAGGTTATTTATTTACGGTCTTTTAACCGAGACTGTAAGTTCTGCGTCCAGAGCCAGGCACCGATCGAGCTGTGACAAGGCGGGCAGCGGGACACTTCATGTTAGATCAGAAAGGACGCGTGAGAGCAGCGGTCTGCCGGTCTTCAGCCTTGTCCGCACTGACCGACTGGGGGCCTTTAAGGACAGTGGACACATTCAGCTGCTGTCCACCATGTTTTCATATATTTCACCGCAGCGCCCAACTTTCAAAATAACATTTGGACGACGGTTAAAAAGTGGGCGTGTGTTACAGTGAAGTCACCTCAAAAGACGTTTGACCTTTTTAAGAAAACAAACAATTTTAAGTTTTATTTAAGACAAATCAGACAAATCATAGCATGGGAGCGCGTAAAAGTGAATGAAACCTTAATAATAGCTCTATACACTATAAGATTATTTGCAATAAAAACTATGTTAGAATATGAAGGCTATTAAAATATGTTATAATATTTATATAAGACATTATAAAACTACCCCAAACTATAGGCCATTACGTCTGTGTTTTCTACTGGGATATTTATAATTTTAACCAATACGCCAAGCCTTTAGTGACATGCTTTTCTTTTTTACAGATGACAGCAGACTTGGGGCCTCGCTTACTAACTATTACACACGCACGTCTCATTGGCACGCGTTGGTCTGTTTACACAGTCCGACTTTAACCTGTTCTAGGGGTATTATTATATCAATCAACACTATATAATATAATACTTATTTTGCCATTAAAAATCTTGATTAATAGCCTACATTTTGAGAAACTGTAATAGGCCTATAACAAATATATAGTGCATAGCCTATATTTTCTCTTTAATTCATAAATTAAAAATATTTATTTATGCATTAGTTTATTTTATAACCTGTGTTTCCTTTTTCTATACCTAAATGAATGAAAACTTTTGAAAGCTCCCCACTGGAAAGGTCAAGTTCCACATGACCTTTCAGGCCTAAATGATACAAATGCGCCGTTTTTCTGCTTTATTTACGTAGAAAAACCTGCAGAATAATAAGACTGAGCTCTGTTCTTCGGTCTGATGCCCAGTGTATAGTCCGGGCAGAGGCACAGTGAACAGAAGAGAGCTCCGCGCGCCGAGACTCCGCGTCAGGCCGCACTGCTGGTCTCTTGGAAGCAGAGGTGCGCAGTGCCGTATGGGCCAAACATAAAACTATAATTTGTTTATTTTACAGCCTAAGTATTTGGGCTATAATATACAATAAGACCGTTCTTTGGACAAGCACACGCTATTTTCTGTTTGATTTTGTAAACTAAAAGCTTCAGCTACATTTTAAAATCTGTTAAAGCGTCAAAAGGACTTTTTGCAACAGCTTACAGTCTTCTGTTAGAACAAAGATTTGCAGTGATTACTAGTCCAACTTCTGATTTAATTTTTATCACATGGACGAAAATAAAATAACTTGAACTTGTCCTTTCTCAAATAGATTTTATTTTGCTTGTGTCTTTAGACTGTTCGGGCTACGCTACACATATTGTTTTTATCAATGGTTTGAGCTGCTCAGCCTGTGCGTCGCTGCAATGATCAAT